GAGCCAAACCTGCCTGGCCCTGAACTTTCCAAACTGACACTTAAGGCTGTTCCTGGTGGTCCTGGGGCCTTGGGCCTGGGGCAGCCACACCCCATGGGCCTGGGATAGCACCCCTGTGGGCCTGGGGCAGCACCCCTGTGGGCCTGGGGCAGCATCCTCCCTGTGGGCCTGGGATAGCACCCCATGGGCCTAGGATAGCATCCCTATGGGCCTGGGGCAGCCACACCCCATGGGCCTAGGATAGTACCCCTGTGGGCCTGGGGCAGCACCCCGTGGGCCTGGGGCAGCACCCCTGTGGGCCTGGGGCAGCACCCCGTGGGCCTGGGGCAGCACCCCTGTGGGCCTGGGGCAGCATCCTCCCTGCTCCACTCTGGTGGCCTTTCTCTGGTGTGTGGTGCTCAGTGTTGTGAGCAGCATTTCTTCTTGTCACCTCGAGTGTTTTCAGGAGTGGGGTGAAACTCCACATTAGTTCACTTGCTGCTGTCCCCACTGTTTCCAGAAGGTTCCACTGGATGGTGGCGGTTTGGTGGGCTTGCTCCAATCCTCATCCTCCCGACTGCACACAGCGTCTGCTTTCTGCTTCCTTTGCTCCTGGCCTGGGCTCGCGTTCCAGCGGCTCCTGTAGGGCGGGTTTGTCTTGTGTGTCCGTGGAGGGCTGAGAGCAGCCGGAGGACAGAGCCTGTGGCTCTCCTCCCCCAGCCCTGCCTGGTCCGGCAGCATCTAGCCCTCTGAGCCGGGCAGGGCTGCCTGCCTCCTCTTGGGCATCTCCTCTGACACGTTCTCCCACGTGTCCCACCTGTGAACTGGAGCTGGTGGTTGGCAGGGTGCCGGCTTCGCCCTCTGCCCTCTCACCTCCACATTGTTGGTGCCCGGCTGCAGAACTGGCGCTCTTGCCCTGTGGGCTTGGAGCATGAGTCTCTTAAGCAGCTGCACTTACACGGGCGCCTTCGGAATGGTCACAGAATATCGGAGTTCAAGCTCTGATTTCATTTTTTTAAATATTGATTTGAAAGGCAGTCAGAAAGGGAGGTCTCCATCACTGGTTCAAACGCCAAATGGCTCCGTGAGCCAGGGCTGTGCCAGGCTGTGCCAGGGGTCCAGCCGGGTCTCCCATGTGGGCACAGGGCTCCCTCTGTGAGCCAGGGCTGTGCCAGGCTGCAGCCAGGGGTCCACCCGGGTCTCCCATGTGGGCACAGGGCTCCCCTCCATGAGCCAGGGCTATGCCAGGCTGCAGCCAGGGGTTCCAGCTGGGTCTCCCATGTGGGCACAGGGCTCCCACCATGAGCCAGGGCTGTGTCAGGCTGCAGCCAGGGGTTCCAGCCGGGTCTCCCATGTGGGCACAGGCTCCCCTCCATGAGCCAGGGCTGTGCCAGGCTGCAGCCAGGGGTTCCAGCTGGGTCTCTCATGTGGGCACAGGGCTCCCCTCCATGAGCCAGGGCTGTGTCAGGCTGCAGCCAGGGGTCCACTCGGGTCTCCCATGTGGGCACAGGGCTCCATGCACATCTTCCATGGTTTTCTCCAGGTATAGTAGCAGGGAGCTGGATGGGAAGGTGGGTAGCCAGGACATGAGCCGGCACCCATATGGGATGCTGGTGTTCCAGGTGGTAGCTTTACCCGCCCCCCCTTAAGAAATGTGTCTATAATATTCAAAACTATCATCTTTCCTTGATTACTTCTTTATGTTTTACTGATTCATATAAGTTGTTTGTGAATTCATTTTTGTAATTTTTTTTTAATTAAAAAAACATATTTATTTGAAAGGCAGGGTTACAGAGAAAGAAGGAGAGACCTTTTATCTGCTGATTCATTGCCCAAATTGCTGCAGTGGCTGGAGCCGAGCCATTCTGCAGCCTGGAGCCAGGTGCTTCTTCCGGCTCTCCCACGTGGGTTTAGGGGCCCAAGGACGTGAGCCGTCCTTCACTGTTCTCCTGGGCACTTATCAGGAAGCTGAATTAGAAGTGGAGCAGCTGGGACTTGACCTGAGGTCGCTGCAGGCGGAGGCTTAGCTGGCTATACCACGGAGCCCATTCCTGTAAAAGGATTTTTTTCAGTAGTGATTTCCAGTTTATTGTGCTGTGATCAGAGACTGTTGTTTGTCGTGCTCCCACCTGTGGAGGTTGTCTGGGTGTTCTTGGCAGCCTGGTTAGCCGCCAGTTTTTGCACTGCTCCGCTGCTGGAGCCCAGGGCGAGGTGTTTTACCCCCTTGGTCTCACCGACCGCCGTCCAGGCCCGACTGCCAGCCGCTCACTGCTGTGCCTTCGAGCGCCGCTTGGGTCACCTCTGTCACCGCTTCTCATGTCCCAGACATCGCCTTGTCAGTGGTTGCGAGGCCTCCACAGCTGCTCTGCTCCCATCCAGCGGCGTGGGTGTGAGGCTGACAGTGTCTGTGTCCTCCGAGGATGTGGTGGGTGCCTGTGGGGCACAGGAGGTGTGGGAGTCTTGAGGGGGTTGTGGGGGTGGAGCAGCGAGTGGGAGAGGCCGCCCAGGTGGGAACTGGGAGTGTGGGCTGGGTGGGGAAGCAGCCAGGATGGCAGTGTTCAAGGGCCTTCCCCTCCAGTGCCTGCTCGACCCTCAGGGGTCAACGCCACACAGACTCCCAAGTGGGGTGGAGGGGCCACTGCGGGACACAGACCACAGGGAGCCTGGCCCTCTGGGGTGGCCGTGGAGGGGCCGCTGTGTCAGCCCCACGGCAGGGAGCCTGGCCCTCTGGGGTGGCCGTGGAGGGGCCGCTGTGTCAGCCCCACGGCAGGGAGCCTGGCCCTCTGGGGTGGCCGTGGAGGGGCCGCTGTGTCAGCCCCACGGCAGGGAGCCTGGCCCTCTGGGGTGGCCATGGAGGGGCTGCTGTGTCAGCCCCATGGGGCAGGAGGGAGGGGATGGTCTGCGCCTGTAATGGGAGGAATTGGGGTCCAGACTGCCCACAGTGGGTGGCAGGCCTGGTGCTCAGTGCACCCTTGGCTCTGGGCGTGGTGTCTGGCTTCCCCCAGGACCTTGGGGCATGGGCACTGATGCCATCTGACTTGCTCTCCCACCTTGCCCTATGCAGGGCCTGGTGTGTGGGGATCCACCACGGCCTGTGGAGTGAATCAGTATGATAGCAGAGGGACCTGTTGGCCGTGGGATGTGGGGTTGGAGTGCCAGTGCCAACCCAGGCGGGTGCTTGGGGCAGCTGGGCTGGACTCCCCGTGGTCTGTGGCAGAGGAGTGGCCACTGTGCGGTGAGGGTCTCATTGCTCTTCCAGGCCAGGCCCAGAGCCGGGGGTGATGTCCTGTGGTCACCGCTGAGGCCATGCTGGGGTGTGTCTGCTTTGAGGACTGTTTGCTCCTAGCTCGGCCTTGCTCTCTGTCCCTGTAGTAACTGTGCCCCTGTGAGAGGCCGGCGCGGGGCCTCCCTCAGCTCCCCTGGAGCCCACGCTGGGGCCCTGCCAAGCCCCGAGGAGCCCCAGGTCTCAGACTGTGACCCCAGTCACAGCCCATGCTCACTGCTCCGCTGAGGGCCCTGGCCCCACTCTGAGGACAACAGATGGGCCGCTGGACTGGGGTTCGCCAGGGGACTGCAGAGGCTGGAGGTCCTAGAGGTGGTGGGCTGCAGCTCCCTGGAGCCAGCGTGGTGAACACGGCTGCCCCTCCTGCAGGACCCGGGGCTGTGTCCCCTGCAGCTACATGGCTGAGCAGGGGTACTCAGAGCCAGACCCCCAGATCCTGAGCTAAGTCCTGGACCAGCGCCTCACTCAGGGCTGTAGTTGGAGGCACGCATGTGTGTGTGTGATCTGTATGCTGCCCGTGTGTGCACGCTGTGAGTGTGTGGTCTGTCTGCCCATGTGTGTATGCGTGTGTATATGTGTGTGCATGCTCTGAGTGTGTGGTCTATCTGCCCGCGTGTGTGTGTGTGTGTGTGTGTGCTATGAGTGGGTCTGTCTGCCTGTGTGTGTATGCGTGTGTATATGTGTGTGCGTGCTCTGAGTGTGTGGTCTGTGTGCCCGTGTGTGTGTGTGTGTGTGTGTGTGTGTGTGTGTGTGTGTATGCTATGAGTGGGTCTGTCTGCCTGTGTGTGTATGCGTGTGTATATGTGTGTGTGTGCTCTGAGTGTGTGGTCTGTCTGCCCGTGTGTGTGTGTGTGTGTGTGTGTGGTCTGTGTGCCCGTGTGTGTGTGTGTGTGTGTGTGTGTGTGTGTGTGTATGCTATGAGTGGGTCTGTCTGCCTGTGTGTGTATGCGTGTGTATATGTGTGTGCGTGCTCTGAGTGTGTGGTCTGTCTGCCCGTGTGTGTGTGTGTGTGTGTATGTATGCTATGAGTGGGTCTGTCTGCCCGTGTGTGTGTGTGTGTGTGTATATATGTGTGTGCATGCTCTGAGTGTGTGGTCTGTCTGCCCGTGTGTGTGTGTGTGTGTGTGTGTGTGTGTGTGTGTGTGTGTGGTCTGTCTGCCCGTGTGTGTGTGTGTGTGTGTGGTCTGTGTGCCCGTGTGTGTGAGTGTGTGTGTGGTCTGTGTGCCCGTGTGTGTGTGTGTGTGTGTGTGTGTGTGTGTGTGTGTGTGTGTGTATGCTATGAGTGGGTCTGTCTGCCCGTGTGTGTGTGTGTGTGTGTGTGTGTGTGTGTGTGTATGTGTGTGCATGCTCTGAGTGTGTGGTCTGTCTGCCCATGTGTGTGTGCCCGCTCTTGGCAGCAGCAGTAGGCATGTTTGCCCCTTGAATCTGTGTCCAGAATCACACACTCCCTGGTGAGCCTGGCTGGGCGGTCGCTGCCATTCGTCACAGACTGTGTGACAAGGACTTGGTGACAGCCATAAATCTTAGTCTGGGAGGAGCTTTTTGCTCGTCCAGGGGGAGGAAATGTGGTCTTGCGGACACGACTCTGCGCTTTGTTAATTTGAATGCTTTTGATGAATGTGTTTATTAACAGTGGCCATGACGGAAACAAAAATTAGTAACCATGGCCAGAGCAGGAATCTCCTCTGACTGCAAAGATGACAAATGACTCCCATTACTGTGGGGCTGCTTCTCGCAGGGGCTCCGGGCTTGCAGCTGAAGTTCACGGTGGACCCTGACTTCCTAAAGCCCGGCGAGCAGTGCTGCTTCGTGCGTTACCTGGCCGCGCAGGCCCTGCAGCTGGACGTGTGGGACGGCGACTCCCTGCTGCTCCTCGGCTCTGCTGGCATCCCCCTGCAGGTAGGCACTCCCCTGGGCCTGGGTGAGCTGGCCCCTCCTTGGCAGGGCCACCACACTGCCCCCCTGTCCCGTGGCTCAGCACAGCCCGGGCGCTGCTCGCCGGGTGCAGGTTCTATGACGCCAGGTGTCTGCCTGTGAACTCCTGGGTTCCCACCTGGCTGGCAGGATCTCCTGCACACTGACCCCTGGGTGGTGCTGCCCACAGCCCCTCTGAAGTGGTGATGTGGGCTCCCTGGGCAGGGGCCAGGCCCACCCTGGGCATCCTGCCAAGGCTGGGCAGTGCAATGGTGTCGGGTGCTGTCAGCCAGCTGTGAAGTATGCTTCTCAAGTCTGGCAGGAGTTAGCATCTCTCTCTCTCTCTCTCTCTCTCTCGGATGATGCTTTGTTGTCATCCTCCTACACCAAGGCCCAGGCCCCTCTGCTGGTCCTCTCTGCCCTGGGTTGCTCCCCAGGCCCTCTGGGGTGTGTGGTGGGAACCCAGAGGGGCTGTGTGGAGCAACAGCTGAGAATTTTCCTGCCACCTCTGGGGTGGTGGAGAGGGCAGGCTCACTCATTGCAGCTCTTAGATCTCTGCCTCTTGCCCTGTTCTGTGTGCAGGTGGGGAGTGCTGACTGCTGCCCTTCCCCCGGGGGGGTGCCTGCTCCCTCCTGAGGGGCTCAGCGGCCCCCAGCTGCCCTAGGTTGGGAGGTGCTGGTACATGTGGGGCCTCAGGCCAGCGAGCAGGATTTGGCTCCCTTCTGAGTCCTCAGCCTGGTGCTCTGGGTCCCCTGGGGTCACGCTGGCCACTGCTGATGTGTCTCCATCTCAAGCCTCTGATGTCCCAGGGGAGGGGCCGGTGTCATCACTGCTCAGTCTCCTGCACTGGCCCGAGTGCCAGCCTCTGCTGCATGGTGGCAAGAGAGGGGAGGGAGGGCTGGAGAGGAGGGAGTGGGGAGGGGTGCGGGAAAGAGGGAGAGAGGGCGAAGGAGGGCAGGGCGGGAGGGAAGGAAGAAAGGGGAAGAGGAAAGGAGAGAGAGAGAGGGAAGGAGAGAGGGAAGGAGGAGAGGGAGGGCTGGAGGGAAGGGGCCCGAGGAGCAGGCAGCCTGTTTTATCCCAGCGCCCGCCCCACGCGTGGCTGGGCCCTGCGCCCCTCTGCCGTGACTCCTGGGCTGACAGGAGCGGCTCTGTGTCCCATCGCCAAGGGCCCCTTAGACAGATGTTGTGCTATCTGTCAGCACGAACTTGGGCACACTGAACTGGTTTTTAAAAGTTTGATGAAGTGTGGAACTTCCATCGAAAATGTGGGGGACTGCAGCAGTGGGGGGCAAATTGCAGAGCACAGGGCACCATGCACCTGCCCTTCCCTGTGGATGGGCGCCCGATGGCCTTCTCGCTGTTGTCACACCTGCAGCCACCTCCTCACTGCTCCCCTGAGGACAGTGTGGTTGTGTGGCGTGTCACATGTCACATGCTCCTTGGCTTCCTGTAGCTGATCATGGCACCCAGGCTTGCATGGATGATGGCCAGAGCCAGGGCTGTGACCCAGCTCTGCCCCTGCAGTGTGTTCTTGTCTCCGGTGTCACCCCAGGTGACGGTGCCCACAGGGGACGTGGTGTGGCTGTGCCAGCTTCAGGCAAGCAGAGTTGGGGGTGGCCTGGCCCGGAGAAGCACCTGCCCCTTGCCAGCTTGCTGGGGCCTTAGCTCTCAGCTGTCACAGCACAGGGTGCTTGCATCTGTAGCTTCCCCTTGGTAGGATGCCCTCCTCACTTGTATTGGGGTGCGGCTCCTGCACGCTGGAGGCTGTCCTCACATGTGTTGGGGCGCAGCTCCTGCACGCTGGAGGCTGTCCTCACGCGTCCTGGGGCTGGGGTGCAGCCCCTGCGTGCTGGACTGAATGAGCAGTGACTTGGGTGGTTCTGCCCAGCCGCCACCTGCATGGAGACCCTGGGCTCTGGCTTGAGCCTGGTGCTCCCAGTGGGCCCTCACGCCCTGCGGCCCTCTTGTGACCCCTGGGCCCCTGCCTTGGCCACACTGCAGCCTGCTGCCGCCTGGCCCCATGGGCTCAGCTGCATCCAGGCCTGCCTGCCCAGCTCTGGCTGCCCACAGGCTGTCACTGGCCTGGAACCAGTACTGCATGTCCCAGACACGGGCTCTACTGGCACTGCTCGTGCTGCTCCCTCACCCTCCCTCCCGCCTGTCCCTCTGCCCGAGGGTGGTGCCCGGCCACCCTGGACACAGCGATGGGTATCTGCTAAGGAGCAGGTGGCCTCTGCTGCATCTCTCCTCCCCCGTGGTCCCAGGCCAGGACTCTTCCGGTTCCTGTCCTCCTTGGAGGCCGGGGAGCAGGTCCGCCCACGGCCCCCACGGACACACACTGTGGTCCCATTCAGGAGCTCAGCTCACATCTGTGCCCTGCAGCATCTCCTGCGCCAGGGGCGGCCAGCTGTGCAAGTGTCTCACGAGCTCGAGATTGTGGCAACCGAGTATGAACAGGACGCCATGGTGGTGAGCGGCGACGTGGCTGGCCTTGGCTATGTGAGGCCCATCGGCGTGCACACGGTGGTGAAGGGCCGGCTGCACCTGACCTTGGCCAACGTGGGTAAGCGTCCCCCTGGCTTTGTCCAGCTGTGTACTGGTTCTCTGGTGACTGCTGGAGTGTGGGATGCCTGGGGCAGCAGGCTTTTGGAAGCCGTTGAGAATCTGCGACTTGGGCAAGGGCAGCCTCTGCCAGTCCTGCCGCCAGTTGTGGGTGGTCCTGTTCCAACAGGAGCTGGGGCTTATCAGTCACCCCGGGCCTGCCCACCTCTTGGGTCTTGGTGCAGCCCATGGGACCTCTGGGACAGTCCTCCAGTGAAGTGACCGGGCCCCGAGAGAGGTTTTCATTTGGAGCATGACTCACAGTACTTGCCCCCTCATACAGGGCAGAAGATGGGGTGTTCCTGAACCTCCATCCAGCTCAGAATTGGGGGAAACGCGTCTGCTTGGAGCCAGCACCTGCCTCATGCCAAGTGCTGTCCTCAGAGGCTGCGTGAGGCTGGAGTTTGCTCCGCCACCTGCCAGGCCCAGCTGTTGGGGTTGGGAGCGTGGGGGCGGCTGGTGAGGTCAGGGAGTGGGGGTGCAGCTGATGGGGTGTGGAATGGCTCATGATGGTGCCCTAGGCTTTGACCAAGTACTCTGATGGGGCAGCTGAGCTGGTGGGCACAGCTGGTGGGCACAAGGATGGGAGATGCAAGGGTGGAGCCCCCCCATGCCCACTGCAGGTCGGAGTCAGTGTAAATCCCTGTAGGCTCAGTGTCAAGTCCTTCCTCGGGGATCCTCAGGCCAGCTTGGGCTCTTTCTGAACAGAGGTAAAAGCACAGGGAATAAACTGGAGAGTTCTGTAGCCGTGTCTGTGAGGAGGAGACTCAGCCCTCCTTGTCATTCTGTCGGGGAATTTTCCGTTCCTCAATACCCCAGAGCCCCTGGGCCACATGTGCCCCGTGCTGACAGCAGTGGCATGGAGCTGGCAGCGGGTGGTGCACAGCTCATTAGGGCTGGCTGGCGGCTCCCGCCTGCTTGTTTACAGATGTAAGAGCTGGAGGCAGCCGGGGGACAGACAGCGTGGAGCCAGCTGAACTCGAGTCGGTTCCAGGGGCAACGCGCCCGTGTGAGCAGCAGGCGCTGCTCACGAGCCCACGCGGCTGCCTTGGAGGCGGCGGTCGCCTCCTTGGAAGAGTTGGGGCTCTGTGTCACCTCCAGCTGTCATCGCTGTACTCTGCCTGCAGGAGAGCGCTGGCTCATTGCAAAGTCCCTCTAAGACCCCCGACTTGGGAGGCTCCACCGCATGGGCGTGATGGGAAACTTACCCCAGGACAAAGCCACACCCTGCAACCGTGCCCTGCAGCCCTCAGGAACAGTGCTTTGATGTTTAATTCTCTGCGAAACCTGCCTGCAGATTTGACTCTGGCTGTGGAAGCGACAGGCAGGATGGGGTCCCGTCTGTGCCGCCACCCCACCCCTGCTCCTGCTCTGGTTTGAGATCAAGCAAGGAAACAAGTGCAGGAAGAACCAGGCAGGGCTTGAGGCTGTGCTGTGGCTGCCAGGTCGCTGGGTGCCTGCCTGCCCCCTTGCAGGGACCTCTATGGGCAGGCAACCCCAGGGCCCCAGCAAGAAGACACGGCCAACTGCCCACCTTGAGGTTCCAGAGGAGCTGGTGGTGTGGCACTGCTGGGGCCCTGCCTAGCGGGAGGCGCCTTGTGCCAGCCTCAGGGCCGTCAGTGGCTTTCCCTGCCGGGGAGAGATTTCTGCGCCCGCAGCAAATGGCTTGGTTGCCTGCGGAACGCTCTGCCTCACCAGCTAAGATGGCAAGCTGGGCCCTGGTGAGACCCTGTGACTGCGCCAGCTGTCCCCTCCTGAGTCAGATGCAAATGGAACCCCAGCTGATACTGGCAGGTCAGTGTCAGGTCAGGCACACCATGGATAAACACCGCAGGAGGGAATGGCTGTGAGGCCCAGCGCCACCCTGTCCGGAGGTGACCCTGTGAGCCCACGTGGCCCCTGTCCGGGGGAGTGATGGCTGCCCGCCCTGCGAACCCTCGTAACAGTGTCCCGCTCCCTGTGTCCCACTGGGTGACACAAGCGACCGAGTGTGAAATAGCCACATTCCAGTCTGATGGAGGTGACCCGCCTGCCCATCTGTGACCCAGGGGACTGCGGGCTGTCAGATGTAGGTGCTTACAAAGGTTCTGGGTTTCCCCTGGAGTGGGGAGGTATTCTGTGCCCATCTGCCAGCTGTTACCAGCTGTACCCAGGGGATGATGGAGCGTTTGCCAAGTCCTGGGACCACAACTGGGAACTGCTGCCTGCTGTCTCCCCACGTGATGAATTCACATGGAGAGATGTGCAGACCGCATGGCGCTGGCGGGCAGATCCCAGATGGTGTGTCACTCCTATTCCTGCCAGGACCAAAGACCTGAGCCACCAAGGCCTGGAGTTGCGACTCTGCCTGGACACTGGGGAGGCTGCCCTCCGGCCTGCCCCCTCCCTCTGTCACTGCCTGTGCTGCCCCTCTGCTCGCTGTCCTTCTTTGAGGCACAGCCTGGCTCTCACTGTGCCTTTGCCCTCCCTCCTGGCGCAGTAGAAGCAGCTGACGCACGTGAGTCTGTTCTAAGACTTGAAGGGGTACGGACCCCACAGTTGCCACCTGAGGGGTGAAGGCAGTGGCCCTGGGGTAGCCAGTGTCGGTGGGTCCTGCTGAGGTGGGGAAAGACCACTCAGCAGCCACGTCAGAAGGCCCGATGGAAAGGGGCAGAAGTGAGGTGAGGACGGGCGGGAAGACACAGCAGAGGCAAGGCAGGAGTGAGGGCACAGGATGAGCTGGGCCCTGCACCTGCATGGGCCTGTGGGCCTGGAGGTGGCCGTCCAGCTGCAGTCCCCTCGGGGCATGACACCAGCCTTCCAGCAGATGGAGACGCCAGCAGTCTTCAGGTTCTGAGTTCCTGGAGCAGCTTTATCCTGGCAGTGCGGCCGGCCTTCCGTGTGTCAGGCTGCCTCTGTCGGCTGAGACCGCGGACAGCCCTTTCCGCTCCCCACCACTGGCCTTTTCAGGGCTAAGGGGGCCCCGGCTGCAGTTCAGCATCTGGTTGCTGACCTTGGGTGCAGGGGCACACCTTGTTGGAGCAGCTTGGGGTCCTCCCAGCCCCCTTGGAAGGACAGCCGCCTTTGTCCACACTTAGTTTAGAGCCATTCTGGGGACAAGACAAAAGCCTTTCTTGACACTAGGAGGCCCTGGGCCAGGCTGGCATGTGTGGGATGTTCCTCGCACTGAGCTGCTGAAAGCCATGGCTCCTGGTGGGCAGAGGAGGAAGAGCCCAGAGCAGCTGGCAGACCTGGGGAAGGCTGGCCAAGCCCCTCCCTCTCGAGCTGGAGCAGGGCAGGAGAGAGGCACAGAGGTGGATCAGCTTCTCACCACTTCTGGGGAGAGTGGCTGTCGTGTGGGCATGTGTGTGGGAACATGGCTTCACCAGTGTTTGCTATGAGCCCAATCTCATGGGGGTGGGTGGCCTGCTGTGGGCAGGCCCTGCTTCCCAAGGGACTCTCCTGTGTTTGCATGTCCACAGGCTGTTGTCCCAGACACTTGAGTCAGAACAGCTTGGAGGGAGACTGCAGCAGGTGCCAGTGCTGTCAGGGCTCCAGGCGTGCAGGTGGCTGTGTACGCACAGGTGCATGGAGGCTTTCCTGGAACCTCGAACTCCAGCGAAAGGCCAGCTTTGAGTGCACAGAACCTTGGACGGGTCAGGGTCCCTGAGCGAGTGAACAGCCTCACACAGAATCATAGCAGCTCACGTGTGCTGAGATCCATCACAGGACACGGCAGGTCACGTGTGCTGGGATCCGTCACAGGACATGGCAGGTCATGTGTGTTGGGATCCATCACAGGACATGGCGGGTCATGTGTGCTGGGATCTGTCACAGGGACATGGCAGATCACGTATGCTGGGATCCGTCACAGGACACGGCAGCTCACGTGTGCTGGGATCTGTCACAGGGACACGGCAGATCACGTGTGCTGGGATCCGTCACAGGACATGGCGGGTCACGTGTGCTGGGATCCGTCACAGGACATGGCAGCTCACGTGTGCTGGGATCCGTCACAGGACACGCATGGCTCACAGGGAAGCGATGGCTGCAGAGCTCGCAGCAGGAGAGTGAAATTCCTGGCCTAAAAGGCTTCCGAGGAGAACGGCCTGCCTGCCCTTGCAGCAAGTTGCAGCAGAGCGGAGGCACCAGGATGGGATGTCCAGGGCTGCGGGGAGTCCGGCGGCGGCCGACCCTGGTTTGATGTTAACATTCTAACACTGGTAGTGTTTCTCCCTCAGGTCGTGCGTGTGAGCAGAGAGGGAGCAAACCCAGCACACTGCCACCGTCCAGGTCTCGGGTCATCTCCAATGACGGGACCGGCCGCTTCCCTGGGGGCAGCCTCCTCACGGGAGCAGGCCCAAGACGTGAGTGGATGGTGAGGGTCCCACGTGGGTGGGTCATGGAGGACGTGTGCAGGACAGGGCTGAGTGGGAGTTAAGGCGCAGTGTGTGTGTGTGCGTGGGTGCACATGTGCGTGTTCTTGGCATGTCCAGCGGCATGGTCTGACTGTGACTCTGTGGACCTGGGAGGCTGTCAGTTGCCCACGTTCCTTGCTCTTGGTGCCCCCCCGTTGGGCTTTTCACAGAGACAGAAGTTGCTGGGGCCCCTGGTTTCTGGCTAGCTGCTGTGGCAGGGAAGAGGAGGGAAGGTCAGCGGTCCAAGGCATTCTGAAAAACGAGTTTGAGCCTCCCCGTGTTGTCAGAGAAAAGCAAAAGTGAGCCGGAAAGGCAGACATGGTGGATGTGAAAATATCTGCACAGAGCTGAAGCCACAGATGACTTTCCAGCGCCATAGGACTTCCAGAAGCTGCCCTGGGTGCTGTGCTGTGTTCTCCAGGTGCTGTCCTGGGTGTTGTGTGCTCCAAGTGTGTTCCCAGGGTGGGTGCTGTGCTGTGTGTTCCAGGAGCTGCCCTGGGTGTTGTGCTGTGTGCACCAGGTGTGTTCCCAGGGTAGGTGCTGTGTGTTCCAGGAGCTGCCCTGGGTGCTGTGCTGTGTGGTCCAAGTGTGTTCCCAGGGTGGGTGCTGTGCTGTGTGTTCCAGGAGCTGCCCTGGGTGCTGTGCTGTGTGGTCCAAGTGTGTTCCTGGGGTGGGTGCTGTGTGTTGCAGGAGCTGCCCTGGGTGCTGTGTGGTCCAGGAGCTGCCCTGGGTGCTGTGCTGTGTGGTCCAGGTGTGTTCCCAGGGTGGGTGCTGTGCTGTGTGTTGCAGGAGCTGCCCTGGGTGCTGTGCTGTGTGGTCCAAGTGTGTTCCTGGGGTGGGTGCTGTGCTGTGTGGTCCAGGTGTGTTCCTGGGGTGGGTGCTGTGCTGTGTGTTCCAGGAGCTGCCCTGGGTGCTGTGCTGTGTGGTCCAAGTGTGTTCCTGTGGTGGGTGCTGTGTGATCCAGGAGCTGCCCTGGGTGCTGTGTGGTCCAGGAGCTGCCCTGGGGTGGGTCCTGTGATGGTTTTTGTTAATCTGGGATTCCTGAGCTGCGGTGGTGAGGTGGTGGCACCTTCAGCAGGTGGGCTGGTGGGAGATGTTCAAGTCCCTCCCCCATCCCAAGCTCCCAGTTCCTGAGCTGGACTTTGGCCTCGTGCCGCCCATGCTGGCTGATCATACACCCAGGATGAGAGTGCCTCAGAACTGGGGCTGCGTGCAGGGGGGCCTGCTGCAGGAACTATGTGGCCCGGGGTACCGGGAGAGGCTGTGGCTCCCCCGGAACAGCCCTGGGTCCGGTTAGAAACCCCCCGAGGGTTAGAGCTGCCTCAGCGTGGTGCTGAGGGAGGGGTTGCCACCGGCCTATCGGTTGACCTGCCGCTCTTCCCTGGGAGAGTGAGTCTGGGGACCACCTTGGGATGCTGGTGGGCATGGTCTCCCCGCAGGCCACCTAAGTCCTCTTCTGCCTGTCTTTTAAGCTGTGAAGAACGTGGTGCAGGCACAGAGGCTGGCTGAGGTGGACAGTGAGTTGGCCTCTATGCTGCTGACACATGCGAGGGCTGGCCAGGGGCCCCACAGCACCAGGCATGAGTCGGATGCCGTCCGCCGGCGCAAGCTGGAGAGGATGCGATCGGTGAGGCTGCAGGAGGGCGGAGGGGAGCATGGCAACCTCAGGACCAGCGCACTGGTAAGTGCCTGGGGTGGCCCTCCTGGACCCTGCCATCCCCCTACCTCCAATGTGGGATGTGAGCCATGGGTTTCTGGGGAATCTCCAAGTCAGGGCTGTCTGAGGAACCCCTGCCTCCTGGTGGACTTTGGGGGAACCCTCAGCCTGGGTTGTTCAGAAAGCCCCAGGCCAGTGTAAGGTTTGCTCAGGTTTGTGAACCAAAGTTGTGAATGCTGCAGCGTCCTGGGCTGTCAGTGGGTCTCATGCCACCTGCCCAGCCCTGTGTCTGGGTCTGGGGTCTGTGGGGACCCAGGGTGCAGGCATGCTGGCACCTGCTCCCGCCTGGCCTGTGACTCAGTCAACACCCAGGAGAGGAGCGTGGCCGACGGAGACCCCAGAGCCGCCTCTCTTTCCCACGCAGAGCTGTGTGCAGAGGTGGGCGGGGTCCTCAGGCCTGCAGAGAGCTGAGGAGGTGCCCAGCTTGGGTCGGACTGAGGCCAGGCCATGTCCCCTGCAGTGGGGAGAGTGGGGGCAGGCAGGAAGCAGCTACCCTCCCAGCCCCTAGGCGTATGCCGCTGTACCATTGCCTTTGACCATCAGATCCATAATGAGCTGGGGCATGGCCCTGGTTCCTGCATGGGACAGCTGGAGTAACAGGCCCAGGTGACCGTTGGTCTGAGAGGTCCGTGTGCCATACTGGGGATGCAGAGTAGCCTGGTCCTCAGCTAGGAGGGGGGTGAGAGCAGCACCCCAGCCCGCGCCGGCTGCTTGACCCCATGTGTGTCTGTCCCTGTCGTCAGGGCTCCCCTGCTCCAGGAGAGTTGATCCCGTGGCATGGGGAGCCCCACGTGTGTGAATCCTCACCCGTGTGCCCTGTGTGTGCCAGGGCCTGGGGAGGAGGCCTTGTCAGAAGCCTCACCCAGCATGTCCCTCCCATGAGTTGGCTGGTAGGTAGGGCCCAACCGCGTGCTGGGTGTGGCCAGGTCAACAGCATAGTGCTAAGGCTGTCATTCACTTTCCCTTGAACCCAGTACTGTCCCCAGAGCCTAGTTTGCTCTGGGCAGTGTTCCAGGGCAAAAAGGGCAGGGCCAAGCTGCCAGGGCTGGGGGAGAGTCAAGAGCGTGTCCACAGGGCACAGTCAGTGAGGCAGGCCCTGGAGCCAGGGCGCCATGCCCCCACACACACAGTTCTGGCAGGAGAGGCATTGCAGGAGAGGTGGGGAGTCCCAGGCTGGGTGGAGCAGCATCGCAGGCCCCAGGGGAGGGCGTGGCCAGGCAGTATCCGTCCTGTGTCTCCAGGCTCGGCAGAACCTCCTTGCGCAGCACCTGCGGGACCTGCAGGTGATAGACGCCTACCGTGAGCGCACCAAGGCCGAGAGCATCGCCAGCATGCTGAGCCTGGCCATCAGCACGCAGCACACGCTCTACGCCGCGCTGGGCACCGCCGAGTTCTTCGAGTTCGCGCTGAAGAACCCCCACAACACGCCACACACAGTGACTGTCGAGATCGACAACCCCGAGCTCAGGTGAGGGCTGGCCCAGCTTGCCCCGCTGCCCCAGCTCTGCTGTGGGCGCGCTCTGGGCAGCGCTGCTGAGGCCCATGTCACGTCCCCCAGCCTCATCCTGGACAGCCGAGAGTGGAGGTTCTTCAAGGATGCAGCCGGCCTGCAGACGCCACTGGAGGAGGACATGTTCCACCTGCGAGGGGACCTGGCTCCCCAGCTCTATCTGCGCCCCCGTGAAACTGCCCATGTGCCCTTCAAGTACCAGAGCTTCTCCACGGGCCCCCCGACACAGGTGCTGCTCGGCAGGCAGGGGTGCCTTCCACACACCCCGTGCCTGGGGCTGCTGGGTCAGCTGTGGGCTGTCTCTGCCTGTCCTGACACATGTGCCCCACACAGCCGGCCTGTCCTCGAGTCCCACTGGGTGGGGGCAGCTGGGCCATCCCCTCCCCAGTCCCTTCACTAAGTGGTCTGAACAGCTCGCGGAGACCCTGGTGCAGGACCGGCTGCAGCCCCACCCCTTCTGCTGATCTTGGTACACAGGCTCCTCCCAGGCTGAGCTCCGAGAAGGCTGTGGATGCTGGGTGCCCTCCCAGGTCTGGTGCCATGCCCACCAAGCATGCCAAGGTAAAGAGGCAGAAGGATGCATCCCTGCCCCACACGACCCACACGTGCCCACATGAGTGCCCCCAGGGGCATGGAGCCCTCATCCCCAGTGCCAAGTGCCACCTATCATTCGTTCACTGAAACATGGGGTCTTTTGGGGGCCTGGCCCTCTTCCCTTCTCTGCTTTCCTGGAGGAGGGGGGCTGGGGCTCAGCTTTGGGCAGCGGGTGGGAAGGGGAGCTTTCAGCTTGTCGCAGCTGGGTGCTGACCCCGGCCCTGGCAGGTGTGGCATGGACACATCTCTCCAGAGGTGGCCCTTCTGCAGCCTGTGCTCTGGGCTGTGGGCCTGCCGTCCCCTGTGGCTGCTGCCCCCAGGAGAGCCATCAGGGCACATGGCCCTGGCACATGCGTGTGTATGTCCAACAGTGTGTGTGTGTTTGCATTTCTGTGTGTCTGGGTGTTTGTATATCCATAAGGTGTGTGTGTGTGACAGTTGTTGATGGGTATGTCTGTGAGTGAATCCGTATCTGTGTGTGTATGTGTGTGTGTGTGTGATATGAACCCACCTGTCCATCAGCTGAAGTGACACCTCTTGGGATGAGTGGCTCAGTGACTGACCGCAGGACAGTGGCTGTCTCAGTCCTCAGGTTGGGCACAGCCCCTGTCCCCTAGGGAAGTAGGAGCTTGCTCACCTCTCAGGGCCCTCAGGTTGGGCACAGCCCCTGTCTCCTGGGGTAGTGGAAGCTCGTGCCAGCCTCGCTCACCTCTCAGTACGCCCTGCTGAGGTTGGGTTGGGCACTATCCAGAGTCACTTCCTATGGGTGCCCACTTTGCTTGTGGGAGGGCGGTGTGCTCTTGGGAGAGTGGCCACACAGGTGCCTGCACCTGGCGCTGCTTGTCCTTGCCTCGTGGGTGTGGGTGAGGCAGAGGTCCCTGGACCGTCCACAAGGGCCGGGGGCTGTTCATAGACCTGTGCCCAGTCTGATGCCACCTGCCCTTCCACCCTCCCGCAGGTGCTTTTCCGCGCGAGTGGCGGCAAGCCCATTGCTGTGCTCTGCCTCACCGTGGAGCCGCAGCCCCATGTGGTGGACCAGGTCTTCCGCTTCTACCACCCAGAGCTCACCTTCCTCAAGAAAGCCATCCGCCTGCCCCCCTGGCACAGGCTCCCAGGCAGGTCCCCGCCAACTCCCTGGCTGTCCCCTCCCTCAGCAGGGCTGTGGCTTCACGCTGGCTGCACCATCATTGTGGTGTGGCGTCAGTTCTGGCCCTGCCCATGTGGTGTGGGATAGTGGCTTTGTTTGTCGGTTTCTCACTGTTAGAACCAACCCCCTGGGGCTTCTGTGGCTCACAGTTTGGAGGGTTCATGGCCGTGGCCCTGGTCTCTTATCAGTGAGGCTCTGGGGAGGGCCTCGTGGCTGTCGGCAGGAACGGGAGCCGGAAGGAGGTCTGTCCCAGACGGAAGCCAGGAAGGCTGGGTGCTGACCCTCCTGGGGACCCAGCGAGTGCTGTCCGTGGGACTCTGCCACCCTGGGCCCTCTGGAAGGGAGTGGTCTGCCTGTGATGGCAGATACCTCCCGTGCCACACTTGGACTTGTACCTGGAAAGCCCACCTCCTTCTGGCTGGGGACCCCGGGGGGCCTGCGTGTGAAGATGGCAGTGCCCGCTCCCAGGCAGGCGAGCACAGCAGGGTAGCTGCGTCCTGTCCCCACTGCAGGTGCCCGCGTGGGAGCGCCGGCCGAGGCTGTCCCTGTGCACGTGCGCTGCAGCGACCCCGACGTCGTCTGTGAGGCTCACAGTGTGGTGCGTCCGGGGGACCCCGTCACCCGCAGCCCCGTGTCTCCAGGGTTTGGGTTAAGGGACAGACAGCGTTGCCGGCTTAGGGGAGCTTCGAGAGTGAGTTTTCCTGTTCTGCCATTACATCAGTTCTGCCGGCATCGAAATTAAAAAAAAAAAAAAGGAAAAAGAAAAAGGCCTGAAGAAAAGTGAATGGTAATTAAACACTTGCTAATTGCCATTGTGTAAAGGACAAGGGCCTTAATTGCGTTGTAGGAAGTGAGATAGGATCTTCTGGGGAAGTAGCTGCTAAAACCAACCAGTCCAGGAGCCGGGGTCTCTGACTGCAGGACGGCAGGACGGACTCGGGCTCTGGCTCGTGTGGTCCACGCAGCCCCAGGGACGGCTGGGGGAGGCTGAGCCTGTGGGTCGCCCTAGCGCTTATGCATCCCCATCCGGCCAGCAGGGCCCCGGGGAGCCTCAGGACGTGTTCCTCAAGGTGGCCAGCGGGCCAAGCCCTGAGATCAAAGACTTCTTGGTGGTCATTTACGCGTGAGTCCGCAATCTGTGATCTGGGCATGGGGGTGTGGGGGGAGGATGGGGCTGCTGTGGGAGCCATGAATGGCTGGGAGCAATGGGTTCTGAGCTGGGGGCCTCCACCTGCCTTCTTCCTGCTGTTGTGCAGCTGCGGGGGCTGCGGCCTGTCCAGAAAGTCCCATTGGCCACAGGACTCACTGTCCTCCATCTGTGTCGACCCAGCCCTGATGCCGCGCAGGGGCCTGGGTGCAGGGAGAAGGGGTGCGTGGGCCACAGCTCTGCCCAGATCAGTGGGTGGCAGCTCCCAGGCCCCCGTGCTGGTGTGCTGGGCTGCCACTGGTGGTCCCGCCCTCACAGACCTGTCCTGCAGGGATCGCTGGCTGGCGGTGCCCGTGCACACCTGGCAGGTGTACCTGCACTCGCTGCAGCGCGTTGACGTCTCCTGCGTCACAGGCCAGCTGACCCGCCTGTCCCTGGTCCTTCGGGGGACACAGACAGTCAGGAAAGTGAGAGCCTTCACGTCACACCCCCAGGAGCTGAAGGTACAGCCTGCCCTGGGGCAAAGAGGCTGGGGTGGTGGGCATGCGGGCATGCGGACGTGCGGGTGCTGGCCGCAGCCTGGCTCCTCCAGCTGTTCAACACCTCTGGCTACCGAGCTTGCTCACACCCCTGTGTTTGTGCCACGGTGGGTGGGTGACCGTCAGCCCCAGAGGCCAGTTTTGGGCATCGTTAGAGACAGATGTAGGCAGCAGTTAGGCCGCAGTCACACATCTGGATACCGACGCACAGGACGTGCCCCACCAGCCAGCCTGTGTTGGTTTAATCTCTAGTTGTTTGAAAGACGTGTTTATTGGAAAGGCACAGTTATAGAGAGCTCTCCTAGCTGCTGGCCGTCATGGTCAGGGTTGGGGCAGAGCAAAGCCCGGCGCTGGGAGCTTCTTGCTGGGAAGCCAGGGAGGTGAGCTGTCTGCGGGCACTTCCCCAGGTGTGTTGGTGGAGGGGAGGGCTGGGTCAGAAGCCGGCACCGGGACCCTGACCACCACTCCTGCGGGGGAGGCCGAAGTCACACATAGCAGCTCCAGCCTGCCATGCCACGGGGCTCATCCCTGAGCTTTATTTTTTTCTTGAGAGAGCTCCCACCTGCGAGGAAGGGAGGAACTCAACCCAGGCCTCCCACGTGGGTCCCTGGGAAGCACCACCTGGAGCCGTCAGCACTACCTCCCTCGGCAGGGAGCGGGGATGCGAACGGGCGCTGTGAACGGGGTGTGGGCAGCTGGTGGCGTCTCCAGCACTGCCGCCCAGGCCAGCCAGGTCCGGGCAGGCGGGGCGGCGCCCAGGAAGTGGGCCTTGACGTCCTGTGACGGGCAGCTGCCTCACTCTCTGCCCTGCCTCTCTGACCCTCGAAGATGGACCCCAAGGGCGTGTTTGTGCTGCCGCCTCACGGGGTGCAGGACCTGCACGTGGGCGTGAGGCCGTGGAGGGCCGGCAGTCGCTTCGTCCACCTGCACCTGGTCGACGTGGACTGCCACCAGCTGGTGGCCTCGTGGCTCGTGTGCCTCTCCTGCCGCCAGCCGCTCGTCTCCAAGGTGCGGACCTGGGGCGTTTGCGGGCCGGGTGGGGGTGTTGCTCTGTCTGTGAGCTCGGCCGCTATCCCTCTGGGGTCCCAGCATCGGGGGCCGTGCACAGTACTTGGGAGAGAGCCCTGGGCTGTCGCCCCATTGTAGCTACAGCAGCTCATTGTCCTTCGCAGGCCTTTGAGATCACGCTGGCCGCGGGTGAAGGGCAGGGCACCAACAAGCGCATCACCTACACCAACCCCTACCCCTCACGGAGGACCTACCGCCTGCACTGCGACCACCCGCAGCTGCTGCAGTTCAAAGAGGACTCCTTCCAGGTGCGGGGAGGGGCCTTCCAGGTGCGGGGGGGAGGGGTCTTTCCAGGTGGGGTGGGAGACCCACGGAGGGCAGTTCCCAGTGGCCTGAGAGTGTCCTGGCCGTCAGCAGGGGGAGGCGCTGCCACGGCAGGTGTGTCCCTTCTGTCTCCCCCGGGCGACCCTGCCTTGGTACCCTCAGATATGACTGCTGGGGGATTGCCACGGGGCTGCCAGCCGTCAGCAGTGGGGGGCATCTCCACCTGCCAGAGACCCGGCAGGGTGCTCTCGAGATGGGCAAAGGGGACCTACCCTGGGATTAATAGCAGTGCTGGAGGTTGCAACCAGAATCTGGGTGTGCCTGAGTCCACCTGCATGTCACCTCGGGGGTCCATGCCTGGCCAGGGCCTCAGGTCACTTCGTGGGGGCGCCATGCCTGGCCAGGGCCTCAGGTCTCCTGGGGGCGGTGCCATGCCTGGCCAGGCCCTCAGGGTCACCTCCGGGGGTGCCATGCCCGACCAGGTCCTCAGGTCAACGTGGGGGGCGCCATGCCCGACCAGGTCCTCAGGTCACCTCGGGGTGCCATGCTTGGCCAGGGCCTCGGGTCACTTCGGGGTGCCATGCCTGAGCAGGGCCTCAGGTCACCCCGGGGTGCCATGCCCGACCAGGTCCTCAGGTCACCTCGGGGTGCCATGCCCTGCCAGGGCCTCGGGTCACCTCGGGGTGCCATGTCCGGCCAGGTCCTCAGGTCACCTCGGGGTGCCATGTCCGGCCAGGGCCTCGGGTCACCTTGGGGTGCCATGCCCGGCCAGGTCCTCAGGTCACCTCGGGGTGCCATGCCCGGCCAGGTCCTCAGGTCACCTCGGGGTGCCATGCCCGGCCAGGGCCTCAAGCAGATCTTGGCTGAGCTGCAGTCCTGCATAGCTCCGGTGACTTGTACAGACAGGCGTTCAGGCGGAGCAGGGCGGCTCAGTGGCCCTGGCTCATGCTGCTGGTTCACAGGTTGGCGCGGGGGAGACCTACACCATCGGCCTGCGGTTCGCACCTCGGCCGAGCCCGGGGGAGGAGGAGATCCTGATCTACATCAACGACCACGACGACAAAAACGAGGAGGCCTTCTGCGTGAAGGTCACGTACCAGTGAGGCCGGCCGGGTGCTGTGTGCCAGGGACCTGCCCTGGGCCTGCCCGCCTGGGGCTCGGCTGTGGTCAGCACTGGCCAGGCCACCAGGCCGAGTCCTCAGTGGGGCCCACGACATTGTCGCTCTCTGCAATTCTGATTTGCTTTCAGCAAAATGTACTTGATGAATCCTCTTGAATAATGACATGTTGTTTTCTACCAGATTTTGTACAAACAAGCTATTGTTTCACACTGGCGCTGCAGCCTGTCGTTTGTGGTTGTCTGGGACTCCGTTGGGCTTCCCTGGGTGGGATTCCCAGGTTTTGCCTTCACGGCCTCAGGGCTTTCCCTCCGTGGGCTGCTCGGTGGGGGGGGGGGGGGCCCGCCCGGGGCCAGCCTGCTCCTGGTCCAGCTGAGCCTTGGGCCAGGGACAGGTTTCTGCGGGGCCATGCCTTGTGCTCAAGGTCCCAGGAAGGCCACAGAGCAGGGTGTGGCGTGCAGGCGTGGCCGTGTCCATTTGGTGACACGGAATGAGAAGGGGGACAGGAATGAGAAGGGCCCCTGCAGCAGGTGTAGGCTGCTCAGAGATGTGGGGCGGCTGCAGGGGAGGACGTGGGGGCGCGGACAGGGCAGAGGAAAGCCCAGCCACTGTCGTCAACAAGATGGGCAGCATTAGGAATTGGGCACGGAAGAGGGAGGCGGGTAGGATTCACAGCCACATCGGGTTATCGGAGCCAGACATTCCTGAGGGTGGCCCAGCTCCTGGGTAGCGCCCAGCCCCTCAGCATGCTGGGCTATTCCAGCTCGGGGTCTTGGGGTGTTGGGGCAGTGGGGGAACTCAGAGAGTGGAGGCATGGGAGGGGGGTGGGCCTGCTTCTCTTCTCCTGGGCGTTTCAGCAGCGGCAGGGACTCTGGGATGGGGCAGGGACATGCAGCCTGGGGTGGGGACGAGCTTGGTCTTTGGGAATGCGTTCTCGGTCTGCTGTGGAAGAGCGTGTTCCCCAGCCTGCGGGTGCCTGAGGGCACAGGGTGCCCAAGCCCCTGTTCTGGCGCCATTCACGCTTCTGCTTTTGAAGACTCAGAGGCAGGTGTGCGGCACCATGGGTGAACCCCATCGATGTTCCGAACATCCTGTCCGCGTCGGAAGGCCTGGAGTCAAGTGCCACCTCGGCTTTCCATCCTGGGAGGCAGCCATGATGGCTCAAGCACCACCCACTGGCACAGGGACCTAGAGCTCCTGGCTCCTGGCTTTGGCCCGACCCTGGCTGCTGGGAGCAGTTGCGGAGTGAATGAGCAAGTGGAAGATCTCTCCTCCTTTTCCAATAGGCTTGAGTCTTCCAGGTAGGCCTGCGGGGCTGTTGTAGGCCGCCTTTGTTGCTTGGCCGTGTCCAGCATTTTGCTTCCACCGCATGTCCCAAGGTTGCTGCCCCAGCTCCTGCCAGCACAGCTAGTCTCCCTCTGCATACATCCCTGGGTCAGTTCCCCCTCGCAGGTGCCTCAGCTGGAGCCCATCACAGAAAGAGCCATGTGGATGTTAGGTCCTGGGGGAGGGGAGGCATCTGAGGTGAGTCCTTGGTGATTGCAGTTTGTTTCCCATGTTCTTTTCTGTTGCCAGTGCAGAACACGCTTCCCTACAGGAGCTGAGCAAGTCCTCAGTCCTGCGGACGCAGGCTCTGGGACCAGCCCTGACCTTGTAGCCAGAGGTCGTCCAGGCCTCTGCTGTCTGGGTTGGAGCTGCATAGCACCCTGGGGCGTTGGGCAGCTCCCAGCAGGGCTCCCTGTGGCAAAAGCGCCTGGGACGTGCGAGGTCTTAGCCTTCAGTGCCAGCCCTGGGCAGCCCGTCCTGCCCTACTTGCCATGTGCCTCCATCCCCCCACAGGGCACGAGGGTGCGGCTGTCCTGTCGGTGCCCCCCTCGCCAGTCTGGCTTTGCCACATGGCTGCCTGGCTGCAGGGGTGAGCTATGTCGGCGGAGCAGTGTTGATGGACACCACCATGAAGCCTGGAGGTGCCCAGGCCCCTGTGCTCAGGGCCAGGCACAGGAGCAGTCCCAGGCTGGGGAATGGCTTGGAGCATCCGGCCTCTGGCCTTGGGAGCTGAGGGTCGGGGGGTGTTGGGGAGCCTGAGAGGTCTTGCACCCCGGACTAGAGTCTGAAGAGTCTCCTGGGACTGGGAGGCCGGAGAGCTGGCGGGAGAGCCCGGCCAAGGCACTTGGGGTGGGAGTGTCTGCCTGGGGGAGGCCAGGATGTACCCTGGGAGCACCGCCCCCCCAGGAATGGATGCAGTCAGATCTTGCGAGGCACCTGCCTTTGGGACCAGGAAGCCCTTCTGTCTCCACCCCTTGGGGGCTGGGCTGGCCTTCAGCTCGCAGGAGGACAGTTGGACCGGCTTCCTGACTAGCGACTCCAGCCTCCAGCAGCACTGACCCTAAGGGAACCAGCAGGAAGGCCTGGGTCTCTCGCAGCACCAGCTGTGGCTCAAGCTCCCGTGCGACTGGGTCGTTGAGGACCCAAGTAGCAGCTCTGGGAGGAGGGTTGGGGACTGAGCTTAGGCCACCTGCATCTGCAGGTGACTGGACATGGCTTCCGCAGCATCCTGTTTGACGCACAGAGGGGATGAGCTGCTGCTGGCCTGAGTCAGCCTGAGGGGGAGCTGCGGCTGCGTCCTGGGCCAGCTGGGGGCCTCGTGGGCTGAGCATGGGGCCAGCTGCCACTCCCCGGGATTCCTGTGGCTTGGACCCTCCTGGCGTCCCCTGCCCACACCTCCTGTCTGTCTCTGAGTGACATCTTCAGCTTTTCTTCTTTTTCCATGGAGATGCTTTGGGGGACCCCCTGCTGGCCCCCGCTGTCCGAGGGCTCTGGCTAGAGCCCAGAATCGAGCCTGCTCTGGGAGAGCCGGTTTCCTCTGCCTTCTGGGACGCAGGTGCACCAGGAGCTGGGAGGAGCTCTCAGGTGATCGCCTCCCGAGGCTGCGGTTCAGGGATGACCACTCTCCTGAGCATCCATCAGGAAAGAAACGGCATGAGCTTCCGGAAGTCCTGCCTCCCCCTAGGGACCTGGAGGGGGTGGAGACTGACCGCTGACCAGCAGCACCAAGCACCTCTCTCTCCTGGAGACCCAGCCGGGCAGCAAGCCTGCGACAAGCACGCCACCGGTGCACCTGATAAAAGCTGACTTTCTTCATGAAGGTGGTGATGGCAGTTACTGTCTTGGTGTCTGTCCTGTAAGCAGCACACAGCACATTTTACTTCACAGTCTCGCATAAACTTTTCGTGGGAGTGTGTTAAAGTTTAATTCGATTCATTAACCAGTGGGACGTTAAAAGTAGCAGGAGAGCCAGGCGGGAGTTTGCGAGTCCTTTGGGAAGGATGGTCAGCAGGCACTTGCTGGCCTGGTGAGCAGTGCACAGTGAGGGCGTGGGACCCTCTGGGGCTGTGGCCAGCTCCCGCGGCCTGATCTGGCGTGCCTGGGCTGCAGGGAGCTTAGCCTTAGCCAAGAGAGTGCGTCTTAGAACCAGTGCCACGGCACAGCAGGCTAAGCTTCCACTTGGCATCCCAAACGGGCACCGGTTCGAGTTCTGGCTGCTCCACTTTCCCTCAGCTCTGTGGCCTGGAGGAACAGCAGGTGCCCCGAGTCCTTGCTGCGGTTTTCCTCCAGCAGGCTTGGTTGGAGTTGGCTGGCCTCAGAGTACCCGGAGATGTCTTCTGTCCCTGCAGAGAGGGGACCCTGACCCCCACGCCGCCTCGCTGGGCCTCCCAGGGCCACCCATAGGCCTGCATGGCTGCTTCTCCCTACTTCCTGCCTGTCTGGACACACCTGGGGCAGGACAAAGCCACGTGGCAGCGCAGGATGGAAGCCTGGTTTTCTGGGGATGCAGGCCACGTGCAGTGCTCATGTTCCTGAGGGTCCCTACGGTGTCTGCCTCGGGGGTGGGCAGTGAGCTGTGCTGGGGCCACGCCCAGGCCTGGGCAGGACAGCCAGGCCTGTGGGCCCCTGGGGGTCGGTGGAGGAACGCTTGGCCGGGGGAGGCAGAGCCTTGGGCTGCTTGAGTTTAGGGGGCCGAGGCTCTGGGGTTTGAGTTCTGTACAAGGCCCGAGGAGCACCTGTTGCGGAGTGTCAACAGTTAATCCCCAACTCCATGTGGTCAGGATGCAAAGTGCGGTAGGGTGCAGACACTGTGGCTCACTTCTTCCTGCCAAGTTTTTGTGGTCCCCTTGAGCGACGTCCCTGGGGCTGGCCCTGAGCCGGGGCTCGGCAGACCCGTGTTGTGTTGGCCTGTGAGGGTGCGTGCGTTTCTCCCTGCTTGGCACTTGTGCGTGTCTCGGTGTGTCTGCCTTGGTGTCTGGATGGATCCAAGTGTGTGTGTCCTGCTGGGGTTGGGTTGTCCTTCTGCCTGTGTACATGTGTACATGTGTATGTGGGTATGTGAGGTGTGTATGCTGCTTGAATGCACACTCATTGGCACTAGCAGAAGAGGCCTTGTCTCTCTGGGGGTTCCACACCCCCCAGCCATCTCCCTCCAGTGGCTTCTGCCCCTCCTGGGTTCTGAGTCTCCTGCCATATTCTTCATACCTTTTGTAGAAACTTCTGCCTCCACTTGCACTTGCTCCTATAACCCCAGTCATGACTATGGTTACCATGGTAACCGGAGAAGGGTGGGGTTTGCCTCCAGCCACATCCAGAATGGATGGTGGAATTCTGGCGGGCCCCTCAGGCTGTGAGACCACTGTCGCACCAATGAGGGACACAGACCCGTATCCCCCCCGACCAATAAGGACCGAGGTGACCCCAGTTTTGGCTTTCGTGTCAAGCAGAGTTTAAAAGGGTCCCTTCCCCATCTCTTGCGTGCTGTTCTTCCTCTGCAGCCCATGCCTTCATGTCTGTCTTTCTGCTGCACGGGGAAGGGAAGCCTGTGACTGTGGTTTTCTGAAATAAAGGCCTACATTCTTTTCACTTCGGCTGAGTTATTCTTTCCCTGGTGGTCGGCGAACCTAACAATGGCCTCTATCTTTGCTCCCACTGTTTTA